TCAGCCACTCGAGAACTGGTGCTCTCTGCAAGACTTGATCCTCTGAACAGTACAAATCGACACAAACACACATAAGGCTCATTGCGCGCTCATACTTATCGCGTCGGTTCGCGCCACATTGTCAGCGAAATGTGCTGAGCCCTCGGCCTCGCCCCGGTTAGTTAACTGATGCGAGCGCAGCTGACTGACTTCGTCTGCGCGTGCCACGTGCAAAATCTAATGTCTCTCTCCCCTAAGGCAAGCACTATTATTTCTTACAAAGAAGGGAGAGTTGCTAACTAGTGTGGGGGGTCTCGTCAAGAAGGAACTGTAGGAGTCTGCCCCCCAGCGCAACTGCGCTGACTCATTCTGCTCTCGTCTGCCATGACTTACAATCACATATGACAAATTATCCACTCCGCGCGCTAACGCTATCGATTGACTCGCCACTTGATAAGTGTGTAAGCTCACGGTCACTTCCGCTACATTTGATTGGTTGCAGGCAAGTGAGAGCATACATCACAGTAGGCAAGGCTTCACAACACGCCCTTTTCATGGACTCGACCCGCCTTTGTAAGCAGCCCTTGAGATCAATTGGCAGCGGCTATTGTAAGGCTCCTTTAGCGTAGTAAAGCTCTTTCTATCAACACTGTCTTACCTGACTTGTGATTTGGGGTAACCTTTTTCTTGTCGAAACAACCACTTGCAACAAAGCTACTGCAGCCTAACTTTCACACCACCAGTCGGTTACTTCACACACATACACCTTGCGCTTAGTGCACTTTGACAGTCTCAGGATCGGATCACCCATGTAACAGAGGAGCCACGCGGATAAAGAGCCGAGGATCAAACTTTCCTCTCAGATGCGAAATGCTGATTTAAAACACGTGGTACGTGGTGTGGGGCGTGATGCCGGCGCTGTCCTACCATGCGCATGTGACCAAGTGCGTCCATGCGATGAACGAATTTGCGTGGACAGTGCGGGCAGCTGAGGTCCTAGCTTTTAATGCCCTTATCTTTCTCTGATATTCAGGTATCCCAATTCACACAACTATAAACCCAAATTCCACACAAGCACACTGCTCTGCCCTAAAGCCGCTGGTTTCCAAATCAAAGGACGTCGTGAGGAGCCTGGATCCAACAGATGACTTACAATTCGTTCGGCTACGAGGCAAAAACAGCGAAATAATACTTGCACCAGGTAACAGAAGATATCGGGCTGAAATTTGTTTCTTAGGCATAAACATGGGTGATGCTATGGCTTAATTCGATGACTGCTTTACTCTCTGCGTAGAACCAACCGAAATGTTGCGATTTGCGTGGATTCAGGTTAATATCGGGTCAAGCGCCGCACCGTCTTATTAAACGTTAATCGAAATTTTAAAATGCGTTCTCGAGTACGGAAAAGTTGCAGTATTGTTTCAAGATATTTCAAACATATCAGGAAGTTGGTTTTCCAATGCAATAGGCGTCGTTCTTGTTATAAACTTCACGGAAGTCCTAATAAATGAATGAATTCACGAATGAATTGCGCGATCCAGGCGTTGCTCGAGCGCCGAAGCAGTCTGTTTGTTGTTCTTGGCTTTCAAACACTTACAGGAGTTCATTGTCAGAGGTGCCAGCAGTAAAAATGAGGCATTTATTTGGAGTATGAACCAACAAATTATGAGTGGCACAAGTTTAGAGGTTTGGACTGCGCAGGGTTCTGTACGCCAGCGCGAAATCGATACATCGACTGATTGAGTTTTCATCCGTGGACTAGGCTTCAATCAATTCTCGGCTTGGCTCTTTCCCAGTGTGGACGATTACTTTGACGGCTGCAAAGTTGAACCCATGACCTATTTCATAGGCGTGAGCAGCAACTTGCGAAAATTCGTCGCCAGCTTATAGTCATGTATGCGCCATCCAAGCACCCATTCGGTTTGACCTGTGTAATTACAAGGACAGCTCGGCCACGGGATAAGATATACTAACCTAAATTGTTTATTGGGTATCAGTCGGTTTTTTATTTTGATTACCCGGCTGCGTATGGTAGCCTTGGAACGGTGTGCAATTCCGACGACTAGTCCTGCAGTGATGCGCTCGGTCGCTTCGGGGACATCCTTGATGTATGGCAGAGAATGCTATATCCTCAGTGTTTCTTCTGGTTGGATCCTCCGGGGCCGTATGCGTAGGTATTCGTTTATAAATGCTTTCGGATAACCATTCCAGAGGTATCGGGGTCTCTTTTACTTTTTCCTCCTGCTAGCTACGGTAAGTCTAAATCCCCTTAAAGAGTGTTTTTACACAGCTTCGTTTGTGGGCAACCGAATGGTTACTGTTAAAACTAAAAAGTTGTGTTATGTTCATCGCCGCCCTATAAACCGTTGTCTCAATTTCGCTGTTGGGCGTTCTCTTGATGACGACATCAAGTAAAGGCAGCTGCTGTGCTTGTTCTTCTTCCCTCGTGAATTTTATGTCAGGAAAGATTCAATTAAGCAAGTTATGGTAGTTTTGCAGCATGTTTTCTTGATGAAAACGTATGTGTCGTCAACGTAACGATGTCACAAAATAGGCTCGCGTTAGGCGACTGTAGTGTTTTCCAGCTCCTGCAGGACCAATTCTGCCACTAACCCTGATATCAAAAAGTCCACTAGAGTTCATTTGATCTGTTCATAGGTTTCTCCAAAAAGGTAAAGTACGTTTTTGGCAAAATTCGAATAACTTAATGAGCTGTTCAATTTTTAGTGGATTAAGATCCTCATCGTAAACGCTTTTTATGTTGCTGCTGTTGCCTCTGAAAATGAACTCCTGGTAGTTCAAGAAAAGAAACAGATTATTCTGATGCTCCAGTAGCCTTCTTCTTTAATCATAATTGAAAAACCTTATAAATAGAAATACCTTGAAGCCGAAACATACAGTTTATTCGAGTAAAGTATGTGATTTGGTACCAAAAGAGTACAATGGAGGATATCTTGGGTGGACGTTCTCTATTGGCTATATTTAAACTCATAGCGCCATTGGAAATCAATAGAAAATATACACTACTTGTAAACCACTTTTACTAAATAGGGTTTTTGCAGGCGTTTGCATTTTAAAGTAACAAGCCTTGAGTTTTTTGGAATATCGTGGGATTATACAGGACAATAATCACTACCCCGACTCCATTTAATTAATTTTTCCTGATCGAATGTGTACTTCCCAATTTTGGTTAATATATCATGAGGTCGGTCACTGTCACGTGTACTTTCCACTAAGATATGCCAGAAGAAAGAAAAGATAATTTGGAACAGTTACAGCGCAGCTCATACGTCCTACCTAATAACGGGCGGATATTTGAACGCCATTTGTGCCTCTAACGTTCAATTGGCAAAAATGATTTGCAGGGCCCCTCTAGATATCTATTCCCTTCGCCCAACTGCTTAAAGCATTTTGTGGTCAAGCATTTAATTCTTGGCTAGTCAGCGTAAATTAATATATAATTGCGGCGGAATTGATCAAGAAATATTAAATAAGATTATGTTTGTTTTACCATGCTAAATACAATTAAATTCAATCAACATAAACTTCTATTGCGTAGAATACGAATTCCAATCGAGAGATATTTGACCTTAGGTAGGCGAAATTTAACGAAAATTGAAATTTGTCCTCCCATTGGTGGAAATTAACGGAAAAAGTAAAGTCAGGCTACCGAACATTTGAAGGCAGTTTTCTTATTATAGGTCCACGGGATTTTTGCGGCCTCTATAATCATTCTAGCCGTCCAATCTCTAGTTAACGGGTACCAGAGCGTGCGTGGTCCGTGTAGACGGATGGTTTAGCTTTATCAGCCACTGCGTCCGAACTCGCCTGACAGTGCTCAGCCACAGGGGCCAGATGGATGAGGCTGGAGGGGAAGTGATAGATGCAGCGCAAGTCTGCCTCATTATGGATCATGTTGTGCTCACCGGCATGACTTAGTTTGTTCGTTTACGTTTCGGACAGCTGGGCCGGCTGTCCTTTCTCAAAGCCTGAACTGACTTTATCGATCAGCAATTTAAAGTTGGGTTTGTATCCACCTGATGCACATCGGCGCATGCAAAAGTCAAACTAACATGCTCACATTTAAATCTTCATGCCTTTTTTATGTTATAACCATCCCCAAAGCTAGATGTTTCCCGTCCAACAAAGTCTCGATCAAATTCCCAAGGGAGAACTGAATAGTAAGGGCGGAAGAATGGAAGTTTATTATCGCATTCCAAAAGCGTACTTTATAAAGTTGAGCAAGGTGCAAGCGACAGTTATTTATCCTACAAATCCTCCAAATGGCATGCAAACTTCTATAATTTCTGAACAATGCCCAAGAAGTTTTTCTCACTATCTGCGCTTTTTGCTCGATCCACTTACTGGCTGGTGTCAGTAAACCGGCGATAAGACTTATACTTAAACATGTGATTATATTACTAAGAATCCGTGAGTAGTCACATATGTTTACCTTTCATAACAAACCGGCGCCTGCTATGTCGATGCATTTCTTAGTCACTGTGTTACCCATAGGGAGTTCAAAAGCGTCTGCCTATATTTCCTTTAATAAACCTGACGTAACCTGCTGTACAAAATCGGCCTGCACGTGGACTAGTCAGATATTGTCCTCAAACTCCACTGCATTTCTGACTCATCCAAATGGCGGGAGAGAGTCCTAACCCTGGCGGCACTTTGCGCGTCATCCTATGCATTGCATGTGAGCGGATCAGTAGTGTGATGGTGTGAGGGCGAGTCACCAGGGCGGCGCACGAGCGAGTTGGTTAGGGTGG